TTGGAAGAAGGAAGGACCTCAGCAGTCATATTCAAATTGAGAACATCGTCATCGAATCATTCCAGTCACCTTTTGAGGAGATAAAGTCTGCAGCATCATATGCTCTTGGAAACATTGCTGTTGGCAATCTATCCAAGTATTTGCCATTTATCTTGGATCAGATTGACAATCAACAGAAGAAGCAGTATCTCTTGCTTCATTCACTGAAAGAGGTAGGTTCCTAATGGAATTATGTTTGTAAAAAGCACCTCCCATAAGATTGCTGTTTAATTTGTGCTCTAATGCAAAACCTATCAGGTAATTGCGCGACAGTCTGTTGATCATACTGGCCAGAGTGAGCTACAGGACTCAAACATTGTGAAGATATTGGCATTGCTCTTTAATCACTGCGAAAGTGAGGAGGAAGGAGTTCGGAATGTGGTTGCTGAGTGTTTAGGCAAAATTGCACTTATTGAACCTAACAAATTAATCCCTGCTCTGAAGGTATGACGTGTGGACAATTAGCAAAGTTACACCCTATGTTTCATTTACGTCATGATATGGGATCTAATGTGCCATTCCATATAATTTTGTAGGAACGCACAACTAGCCCAGCAGCAAACACAAGGGCTACAGTTGCCATTGCTATAAAATATTCAATCGTTGAACGGACTGGAAAGATAGATGCAATCTTGTACTCTGAGATTTCTACTTTCCTTATGTTAATTAAAGATAGTGACAGGGTAATTTTACTTGAAATAATACCTACATCCTTACTAACTAATGTTCATAAAGAAAGATGTGAAGATGATAATTGCATTTTGTCGTTTGCACTTTGCAGCATGTGCGACGTGCAGCTGTCCTTGCGTTGAGCACAGCTGCCCACAACAAGCCAAGTTTGATCAAAGGTCTTCTTCCTGAATTACTGCCTCTTTTGTATGACCAGACTGTCGTGAAGGTATCGTTTCCTAATTTTGGTTGCTTATTTCTTTTCTTTAGTTATATGATCTGGCGGTGTCACATGCAATTTATAGCTTAGGAAGTAATGATCTCCTTCTTTGCAGCAAGAATTGATCAGGACCGTTGATCTAGGGCCTTTCAAGCATGTCGTTGATGATGGGCTTGAGCTTAGGAAAGCTGCCTTTGAATGTGTGGACACATTGCTGGATAACTGTCTTGATCAAGTGAATCCGTCGTCCTTCATCGTTCCTTTCCTCTTATCTGGCTTAGGTGGTAAGTACAGTTACGCCATTATATATTTCAGTTCATCGCGGCATTTTGGGTGTGTTTGGTTGGTGCCCTGGATTAGCTTACCGATAAATGGAGGATAATCGGCCATGTGATTCCTTGGCAGAGTTTGCATGGGTCTTGGGTCATCAACCAAACATGTCATTCGTCTCTACTTCAGAGTACTTGTATAGGCCTGAACTGCATAGAACCATTGGTGTCAAACTTATTTTTGTTTATTTCGTAAAAAAACATCCTTTTGTTTATTGTTAAAGAAAATTTTGTATTTATAGGTTAGCTTTTCAGTTTTTCTTCAGGATATGTATGGTCCGCATTATCTATTATCCTCTTGTGTTTCTTTCTGAACTCTAAGATGGTATATCACCTATATTAGCATAATCTTATTCAATGTGTATTTTCAATAGAAGATGCTAATTAGTTGTGCTTATTGCAGATCATTATGATGTGAAAATGCCCTGCCACCTGATTCTCTCGAAGCTAGCAGACAAGTGCCCGTCTGCTGTACTTGCAGGTTTGTTATAATCAAGGACCTGCAACGGGATGTTTCATATGCTGCAAATGCCTTCTTCTAATATGTACTTATTGTCCTATTTCAGTTTTGGACTCACTAGTTGAACCTCTTGAGAAAACCATCGGTCACAAACCCAAGAGTGACGCAGTGAAGCAGGAGATTGATCGCAATGAAGACATGATTCGCAGTGCTCTTCGAGCAATTGCTGCTGTAAACCGCATAAGGTAAAGCTTGATTCTGCCCTACTAGTCAATGACTGATTCTGGTTTAGTCAAGAACTTGAGATTTGAACTGTCTTTTCATCCTTTTGGTTACTTGTTTATAGCTACCAAAACAGGGCTGCACAAACCCACTGGTGGCAATAGCAGCCTTTATGCTTGTCAAAATAATGGTGGTGTACTACACCCTGCCCTAATCTAACCAGTTTGACGCCGACTTTTGATGTGCAGTGGCAGCGACTACAGCATGAAGTTGAAGAATCTGATGAGCAAGATAACGGCCACTCCTTCACTTGCCGAGAAGTACAACTCGGTGCGCAGCGAATGAGTGCTGAATTTTTTTTTTTGTATATATGTTAGTGAATAGGTGAGTCAAGTTGGCACACATGCCTGCCGGTTTCGAGGCGATGATCCAACCTAAATTTGCGATAGTAGATTATACTGTACCGATTTTTGCTGAAATGTGGTTGTGAGGTAACTACCATGCAGAGAAAAGGATGTTGAATATCTTTTTCTGTACAAAATATGGTTTTAGACCATTAGAAGCTGGTGTGGCAATTTAAAAATTGAAATCATGCGTCTTTGGTACCTATGCTCTCGTGCCCACCGCAATCTACATTGCGATTTTGTGCACTCAGCATGTGTCGAGAAAGTAACATTGTGATTTTGGTTAGAATTTACTCATCTAAGTATTTTGAATCTCCCAAGGCATTACAAAAAAACCACCTGGTATCTTGTTCATTTTTATGTTAAAGTAGACCAGTGAGATTAAGGCCCTGTTTGGCAACTCTCCAGCTCCGCAAAATACGGGAGTGGACGGGGCGTGAGTATGATGACTCCAGAAAAATACGCTTCAGACCCTGATGCCCCATGGATGTAAAGAAGGAATGTTCTCGCAAATCTCTGCGCGACGCTAGTGTCAGATTCTGTTTGCTTAGGTATGCAAAATGAGCGGCTACCTCTGGTCATGAATGCCATGGAACGTTTTGAATTTCACTTTCCCGTCCCCATGGTGTGTTGGTGCCCTTCCATGTCTTCTTCTCTTTAAGTCCGACTTTGATGGTTGCACCTGGCAATGATGGTGTTTTATGTAGCTTGTCCTTATTAGCCATCGCTTTGTAATCTGCTTAGACGCTCTTCGGGGTGAAAATCCAAGATATTAACTGTAGTGGTTGGATCCCGCTACTGTGGCGGCCGCGTGTCATCATCTTCTTGGAAGCGTTGTTTTTGATGAACCTTTCTCATAGCTCACGTGTTCTCGAAGCGTTGTTGCTAATCTACCGCAAATCGTTGGCCGTGTCGGCTTTCTTTGTTTTTCCTTCTTTTTAAAAAAAAATCTTTTTTGACCGTGTGCATCCTCGTTTTCTAGACTACTTAATATTGTGTTCATTGCAGAAGTTGGGTGTAACTAATATTGTCTTGATTAATATATTATTTTTTCTTGAGAAAAAAGATCTTTACCACATGGTATGTGTAGCAAGCAACTTCATATTTGAAATTGAGCAATGATGCTTTAGGTCGTTATAGATAAAAAACAAAATCCAAAAAAAAAGGAAAAAAAGATCTTCCATATCTGAACCCAAAACCCTTCACAATAGACCTTTCACATTTGTATTGTACAGGTGAACCTATAAGTTAGTGTGGTACAAAAGATATGGTACCATATGTATGTTTTGTCCATCAAGTGTTTTCGCGGGTCCCATTCGCCTTTGGTGGTTGAGCTGACAAACACCAAATCAACCAATGTATTGCAGTTTGTCACTCATCTCCTACTATGCTTTACATTTATGTGTTGCTCGCACCGTTGTTTTAAAAAAGATGACCATCATGTAAGAAATAAGTCTTTTATGACAATTTTACAAGAAGTGATGCTTTTCCGGATGTTGTGTTTGTCCTCGAGTTGCTTCTTTCTACCCAAATCTCCAAAGTGGGGGCTCACTCTATGGTCCTTAGGGACAACAAGTCCTTGACGACCTTGTTCATGCAACGACACCATCTTGAAAGCCTCTGCCTATTGGAGGGGTTAGTTCATGCCGACTCACCCTCAAGCTTCAATCTCAGAGTCATCATTGTCGTCTCCTTTGGCTCATGTTGCATGTTTGTCCAAAACATCTTTGGGGCCAAAAGCTATGTCAACCTCTTACTTGGGAGGCATGTTATGTTTTCCCCTCCCATCTGTAGGTGGCGGCCGATGGTGGGTCGGTTGAGTCGTTCTTCTCGCCAGGCAGGGGCTTTTTTTTTTTTGCGGGATAAAGGGAGTTTTTATTGCAAAGTTATAGTGTTACAATCAAGAGGCCACAAATCCTCAATACAAGGTGGAACCGACTATAACCACACAATTGTGGTTCTCTCGGATCGGCTGTAAGTGGCCAAACGAGCTGCGACACAATACTGACTACGGTGATTTTTCTATGGTAAAAACTCCCTACTACTCATCAACTCTTTAATCTCAAGAACCAACTGCCCATAAGCTGACTTCACCAGGCAGGGGCCTATGGTTGGCAGTCGTTTCATTTTCGTGGCATGTAATGTTTTTGCCCCAAGTTGATACTATGCAAGGTTATATTTGTAAAAGAAACTCATGCACATGCCGTACAGGTCATCAGTTATTAATCTATGCCTTCACGAAATGAATAAAGCGCCGTAGGATTCAAAAAAAAGTTATTAATCTATGCGATATAAAAAACCAAAATCATAAATAAGTATTTGAAAATATAAATCTATACATTGGTGTTTTGTGTCATGTATATATTGCATAAATATAGTGCTAGTATAGTAAAATCTTGTCTTATACTAGTGCATATATAAGCAAACAAATGCGCACTATGTTTCAGGCTATTATTTCTTGACATTCTCTAGCTTTTGCATGCACAGAATCAAACATTTAGTGGCCGGTGACGCGGCAGCAGAATGTATCAAAAGAATATATATGTGCGGCCCCTACACGTTCACTCGATAAAGAGAGAGCCACGACTCCACTTGTGGCTCGCACAAACTCAAGAATCCAAAGAGCACGAAGCAGTAGCACCGCAGCACCGCCGTCCATGGCCTCCGCCGACCACCTCCGCACCCTCGACCTCAAGGCGTTCGACGAGACGAGGGCGGGCGTCAAAGGCCTCGCCGACGCGGGCGTCACCGCCGTCCCGTCCATCTTCCACCACCCGCCAGAGTCCCTCCCGGACGCCGCGCCTCAGCCCCATCGCTTCACCGTCCCGGTCATCGACCTGTCCGCCGCGGTCACCACACGAGCCGCGGCGGTCGCGCAGGTGAGGGAGGCCGCGGAGACGGTGGGCTTCTTCCAGGTGGTGGGCCACGGCGTGCCGGAGGCGGCCACGGCGGAGATGCTCGCGGCGGCGCGCGGCTTCTTCGAGGAGCCCGTGGAGGCCAAGGCGCCCTACTACACCCGCGACCTCGGCCGGCGCGTCCGGTACCAGAGCAACCTCAACCTGTTCAAGTCCCGGGCGGCCAACTGGCGCGACACGCTCTTCATGGAGCTGCCGGCGGCGCCGGAGGAGATGCCGGCGGCGTGCAGGAGCGTGGCGCCGGAGTACGCGCGGCTGCTGCAGCAGGGGCTGGGCCGCACGCTGCTGGGTCTGCTGTCGGAGGCGCTGGGCCTCCGCCCCGGCCACCTCGAGGAGGAGCACGGGTGCCTGGAGGGCGTCAGCCTGGCATGCCACTACTACCCGGCCTGCCCGGAGCCGCACCTCACCCTCGGCACGCCGCGGCACTCCGACGCCGACTTCCTCACCGTGCTCCTCCAGGACGCCGTCGGCGGCCTCCAGATTCTCGTCGACCTCGAGGACGAGGACGGCGCAGAACGGAAGCAGCCGGCGTGGGTGGACGTGCCGCCGGTCGCGGGGGCGCTGGTGGTGAACGTGGGGGACTTCCTGCAGATCATGTCCAACGGCAGGTTCAAGAGCGTGGAGCACCGCGTGGTGGCCAACGCCGTCGGGCCGCGGGTCTCGGTGGCGTGCTTCTTCCGGACGGACCGCACCGCCGCGTCGACGACGGTGATAGAGCCGATCGTCGTCACCGACGGCGACGGCGGCGCGCGGTACAGCAGCACGACCGCGGAGGAGGTGGTCCAGCGGCACTACAAGGTGTCCTCTGCACTCCAGCAGCAGCACTTCAGGCTCTGAATCTCATCATCGGTCGAAGCCCCCAAAATGTACTATTTTTTTTACGAGTGCCAAATTGCCAATCACCCAGTTGCTGAGTGCTTCTAAAAAAATAGCAAAACAAATCAGAACTTTGGGATCAATATGCTTAACACAGCCTCGTTTCCAAGTGATGGCTCAGAGAGAGGAGAGCAAATGTAATAAGCATCAATTGGAGTTCTAAAAATCCAAATGGCGACCCATCACTTTCGGTCTATATATGCTACTCCCACAGTGACACCGCCTTTCGGCAAAAGTTGAGCAGCCCGCGTTAGTTTACCCTGTATGATGAACAACTAGCTGTTACTTAAATGTACAGGAGATATTCCCAAGTTGATAACCTGTGCGGAGGGGAGCTTATCGAATAAAACCGAAAGCAACAATGTACTTAGCACAAAGAGCATCATTTTTTTTCTTCAAAACGGAAGCAAAAAAGAATTGCCTCGTCGATTAATTAAGAAAAAAAAAACTGCTCAATTAATTTATGGAAAACCGGGCTAAAACCGACAAGAAGCACCATTTGATCAAAGTGCATCTTCAAAAGATAATGGATTGACTGTTTGTCCTTGTTGAGGTACAATCATGATGTTCATGTGCTTCGCTTCGGATGTCCAACCTTGATCGAGGCTCGCATTGTAGAAGTGCAGGCCGTTGAATCATCTTCAACATAACACCGAGGGAAGATTCTAACTCCATAAAGAATCAAACCAACAAAAATGACATGACATGTACACTCATCACATCCGAATTATCAAACCCGTGACTAATGTAGTGCTATCTCTTGTAAATTTTTACTTGGGAATGCAGTTTTCAAATTTGGGGCATACATGAAGAGTTTTTGTAGGTCGGTGTGACCCAATTTGAAATTACCTCTAGCGACAGGAAGGTTTATTGAAGATTACTGGCCCATGCTAGCACATTTTGGATCGCCAATAGTGACGTGAAGATATATTGTAACATTAAAGATCACAGTCATATTTGGGGATTGCCACAAGCAACATGAAGAATAATCGTAGAATTATGAATTGTCAGATGCAGTTCTAACTTCAGTTCACTTGAGCAAGGAGTAACCAAATTGGAGTTGGCATGGTAAACTTTTGTCGCATTGAAGAACATTAAATAAAATTTGTGAATTGTCCCCCGTGACATGAATAATTAAAAAAAATCTTGTAGTGTATCATGATTGGTAACATGCTATCTCATTAGTAAGTTCAGTTTACTTTAGGACGGAGTTGTCAAACTCGGATCAGCAAGAGAAAATATTGTGGCATAGAAGAATGTTGATCAAATCTGATATGGCCTCTAGCAACATGAAGAAGACTATTTGTATTGACCAAGCAGGGGGTGTATATTTAAAAATTTCTCACTGGTGGAAAAAGGGCCTTTGGTCGCGGTTCGCAACTGCCATTAGTCGCGGTTGCGCAACCGCGACCGAACGGGCGCGACTAAAGGCCCCCCCCCTTTAGTCACGGTTGCTTAAGAACCGCGACTAAAGGCCCGTCCACGTGGGCGCCAGGTGGCCGTCGGGGCGGAGGACCTTTAGTCGCGGTTCTTCTGGCCAACCGTGACTAAAGGCCGCCGCAGGTTTAGGGTTTTAGCCCCCCCCCTTAAACCTGTTTTCTGTTTAATTTGTATTCTTTTATTTCTTTTGTGCTTTATTTTAATTTTGAAGGAGTTTCATATATTCTACGGTACTACATACATGCATATGAATGTACAATTTCAAATAAATTTGAAATTAGAACCAAAAAGAATTCAAGAGCAATATACAATATATATTCAATATCATCGGATGACCATATACAATTTTGAACAAGTTTCCATACATGATTTAATGCATATAAAGTTCTACGTCCTCGTAATAGTGTTCTCCTTTAGGATGGAGGACTTCCCTGTTGAACCATCCAGCTAGTTCCTCTTGAAGTGGTCGGAAGCGAGCTTCTGGACTAAGCATCCACCGGAGGTTATTCCTCTGAGCATTGGTATCACTCGGAACCCGCTCAGAGGTGTATCTCCGGATCATCTCACAGACATAGTATCCACATAGATTGGTCTCCGGTGGCTGAATATCCCCAGCATTCTTAGCCTTTAACATTTTGAATTCTAGCTCTTTTTTGAATTCACCGACCTTTGTATCTACGAACCGTCTCCAAACCCTACGAGGCAAAGAAAATTAAATGAACAAGAGAGTTATTAATTAGTTACTTGATATTAGGAAATGAACGAAATAGGCCGATCGATATAGAGCGCAAATGAATGAAAATAATTACTTCTGCAGCATTCTTCTCATGCCGCCCCAAAGCTTTGGATCCATATTCACAGAGTCGTGGACGAGATATTCTGAGGTGTTAATTTTAATTACTAGCAGAATCCAGTGGAACCTGCGGACACGATACATGCACAGTACGTCATGCATAACTCATCGATTAGCCGGCCACATACCATGCATGGAGTAAACAAAAGAGAATGTGCTCAAGACAGAAACACTCACTCAAAATGGTAAGGAAATAGAATATCACTTTTGAGTTCCTGCTTTGTAAGAAACTGCCACAGGTCTGCCTCCACGTCGGCGGGGTGACGCTCCAACACATGTCCATTAACGATGTGTGGGTCAATGAACCCAACATCATGGATGTTCCTTACTCTGCATTCCTTAATCTTCATTCTGCATGTATAATAGTGGACACAACAATATAGTTAGGACATATATATAGTGCAGGCAATATGAACGAGATGGGGTAGAAATTAATAAATCACTTACAGAACGTAGCAACTGATGATAGATTTATCGAGCTCGCGCAGATTGAAAAGCTGGAACAATTCACTCAGTTCAATTTGTACATAGTAATGTTTGAAGTGATGCTCATGTCTAACTTCCGCATAAATATATTCTTTGGCATTTTTATTTTTTATGTAACCCTTGTACCATTTCAGCAGACCTTTCATTTGTGGAGGTAGATCCTTTTCCTGCGCAGGCTCGACGAGAGGCCCATTCTTGACATATGTAATTACTACCTCCTTCACTGGCGCCTCATCAAGGCCTAACAGTTCACGAAGAGTAATACCTAAGTTGGCCGCTTGTTCTCTGGCACTCGTTACAGTCAATCCCTGTGCTGCCGCAGCTTGTATGATCTCGGGGGCATCCGGACAGAAGGCTTCCACTATAAGCGGGGCAATCGATTGTTTACTTTGTTCCCCGAGCTGGGCAACTTGTTTCCCGCTTTTTTTACTTTCGGCCTTCTCCCGCTCTTTGTTCTCCTTGAACATGAGTGCCTGCCTGCGAAGTTCACGTGCATAGTCGTTAGGCAGATTCTTCGCTACTAGTACATCTCTGCACCCGAGCTGCATCCGAGCTGCATCTCTTTCGGCTACTAGTACACTCATGGTTTTCTTCATCACATCCATTTCCGATGCCAACCGCGCCACAACATCTGCTTCCCGATCCATCTTTCTCTTACGGCTTCTGTAACCGTACGGGTCATCGTTCTGGGGGAACCCTATTTTCCACGGAATGTGCCCCATGCCTCGTACACGTCCTCCATGTTCAGGATTCCCGAGGGCTTTTGTCAGCGCGTCGTTCTCTCTGTTGAACTTGATCTTCCCCTGTTGAGCATCCCTCATTGCGTTAATAAGGGCTTGGGTGGGTTTAATTAATTTGCCCCGGTAAACACACTCCCCTGTCTCCGGGTTCAGCGTTCCCCCATGCCCGTACCACCAGCTTTTGGCCCTTGGGTCCCATCCCTCTGTACCTGGACGGATTCCTCGCGCCCTCAGCTCGTTCTCCATCTTCTCCAACCTAGGCACCCAAATGCGATACCCTCCTGGCCCCATAACATGATTGTACTCCTTCTTAGCCGCATTTTCCTTATTTTTTTTCGATATTTGAATGAACTGCTCTGATTTCTTTTGCTTCACAAATTCTGGCCAATCATGTTTCAGTTTCTCATATTGTCCTTTGAAATCCGAAGTCTTGTTTTGCTTGACAAAGTCATGGGCTAGATTTTGCTTGAATTTCCGGAATGCGTCGGCCATCTTATGAAGAGCGAACTGTTTGACTAGCCTCCTCCTCTCCTTGTTTTCCTCAGTCTTGTTACCCTCCTCATCGAATTTGTTGTATTCCGGAGGTAGAACGAAATGTTCCATAAGCTTCTTGAAGCAATCTTTTTTTGTTCTCTTATCGACAAAAGTGAAACCATCAATTCGTGCCTTCTTTGGCTCATTCCACTCCTGGACGGTGATCGAGACGTTGTCTCTAACAATGGCTCCGCATTGGCTGACAAACTTGGTGGCGTTCTTGCGGGGCTCCAGCGGCCTGCCGGTTGCACTGTCGACAACCTCGATGGTGCATGTTTCTCCTTGTTTCATCGTCTTGGTTGCGCCACGCTTTGACGACGTACTCGATTGTTTCGACGATCCGGCCGAGGGCTAAAATAAGAAAGAGAGTCGCGCGCGTTAGTACACACATATTTATTCAAATCAGTTAGTTTGTATCACCAGAGGCTCAATGTATATATATACCTCGGCGCCGGAGGTGGTTGCTACTTCCATTTGAAGATCGTCGTTTATCGACGTTTGTTCAGCATCATCTTGCTGACGGCGCCCTTCATCTTCACCGTCAAGGTTCAGATAAGAAGAGATATCATCTTCTTCTTGTCCGGTCGGCACATATAGAATATCGCCGTTTATGATGCCGAACATATGTGCTTCACCGTCCGGATCATAGTTGTCCATAATCGGGTCAGCTCTATCGTCCGCCATTATGTCAGTCCTGAAAACATGTAGTAAAAACAAATTAATTAAGTGAAGAAGGGGGGCGGTGGCGGTGGCGGTGGCGAAAGGGCGGTGGCAAAAGGAGGGGGCGAGGAAGGGGTGGGAGAGGGTGTCGCGGTAGAGCGCGAGAGCAGTCTTATGGTTTCAGACCATGAGCTGCAGTCATTTGCTAGAGAACTTGAGTCATTTGCTAGAGAACTTGAGTGTGACGC